TAATTCTCTTTTCTGTAAAGTAGATATATAGGATTCATAACAAAATTCCCATCCGGAGGTTGGAGACAGTAGCTTGACCCATCCTGGGTTTCGGTAAGCCACATTATTAATTGTGTGTGGCCAGGCAGGAGTGGTTACCACTCCTCTTACCGGGAACTTAGACAAATGTTTGACTTATAGTAGAATCTCATCATAAACTCTGCTCTTGAAAATCAAAACATATGAGGAATAATTAAAAACTAAACCTGTTGAAATAAGGAATGCATTTTATATAATCAAACATTTGATCTAGCATAGTCTGGCGTGAGCGATAGTTAATTCTGTCCAAGGATGCTAATCACTTCTGATAATTTTTAAAGGAAATTATTCAGTGTGATAGATAAAACATGGTGTAAGTGATCTAAAAATACTTATTCTCATCTTTAATAACCTAATTCCTACCTCATTAAGCCAGCTGATTAGGTATTATTATGATTTACTACATTATTGGAAGAATATACAAAACGTTAAGAGCTTCTGTATGTCACATCACAAGAAGATGAAGTCTTTAGCTGCACAGTTAAGTACATGAGCAGGATGAAGTGACAGCAAAGTATTTCTGTGAGGAAACGCAATATGAAACTAGATTTATTTCGGACAATCTGAGAGAAAATTGATTGTTGGGAATTGAGTTCCTTGAAAGCTCTCCAAGTATTACTGTATGTGTTTCAGGCTGCAAAATGGGTAACAGCTGTAAAGAATATTGGTTTTGACATTTCCTATAGTACTGGTGAAGATAAAGGAGGTGAGCAGTCTGAGATATGAATGATTGTCACTATCACAGTTGTCATTTATTATGAACTGTGTTCAACACTCATTGCTGGCAAATCATCAACTGAAGTTTTGTCAGTGTTAAGTCCTTATGTTTAGGATCACAGATACTTGTGATTAGGTGGGGGGATAACTCCATGGTCCCTTGCTGCTTTCTGTCAGTAAGTAGATGTGCTACATTAAGTTGATATTCCTGTATTCAGTAAATTTGTGCCTCATTAGGGCTAACCTTGAAAACATATTCATGGTCATGTAATGAACATATGCTAAAATAGGTGAGGCTATAAAAACAGTTTAATGCTTGTGGATATGCCTTTCATTTCCTGCTTCAAACTGCTTTTGGTCTCTTCATAAATGTTACAAATTTCAAAGTAGATTATTAGGAGGAATCATGGAAGTATTTAATTTCCATGTGTCTCAGGTCTGCTATTTCCTGGGGGTGAATTACTGTGTTTATTAAACAAAGATTTTGCTTGTTACAAGTTCTTAGAGCTTCTCATGTGAAGGGGGGTGAAGGACCAATTCATGTTGCTTACTATGTTTTACTATTCCTGTGGTATAGGCCTTTAGCTGAATTTTCTTACCCTAATGAGTTCAGTCTAAATCTTTAGGTGGAATCTTTCCATCTTTATTTCCCCCCCCATCCTTCTTTCTGACTTTTCCCCCTTTTCTATGTCATCTTCTCCCAACATCCTGCTTGATTGACTTTCCCCAACAAAGCCAACTTTAAGACACAATACATACAGTGTACTAAATGTAAATATGAGTAGATGCAGTAAATTTTCAGAAGGCTGCATCACAGGACCAAAGTGGGCAACAGTTTGGACTTGTACATACCATTTGTGGAGATTAAAAATCTGAGATTGATTAGTGATTTATTAGGGCAGGAAAACCTTGACGCTTGCTCCATCATGAAGGAAGTTTTAGCTGTTTAGAACTTTTTTGTTAGTCTTAATGCTGAGAGCAGTTTTCTGTACATTTAGGAGCTAAAACCCAGTTACCTTTGCTGATGAATACTTTCAAAAAATACACTCTTTTCACCACCAATCACAGTAATAGCTAAACAGATTTTTACAGGATAAATTAATTCTTGAAATGATTGGCCATGGATCTTACTTTGCAGCTTATAGAAATATGTACTGAATGGGAGTAGGAATGAGACAGTGAAAGGCAGATTGAGGAAGTTAAGACTGCATTGATACATGAAATAAAAACAAATTATGCAAGGTCTTGAGTTGACTTTTATAAATGGCATTCAGCCATTGTTAAGTGCTGTTCCTGAGACTACTTAATTTCTCTTTTGTGTATATTAGATACAATTAAAAATAAATTGCCTCTAAGAGGATAGGACAACAGTTATTCAGTCATAAATATTCAAACGCTTCCGTAAAACTCTTGGGCATTACTGTACCAGACTTCTAGTAGATATACTTAGCACTTACAAGATATGCAATAATACATAAAATTATCCTTTCTATAGAAAATGGTCATTGGAGACTGCTGGGAGTGAGACATGTCCTTCTGTGGGATTACCAGTTTTATTTTCCAGATTACCTTGCTGGGAGAGGCTGACTGCTCTGTGTGATGCTCTTTGCAGTTTTGAAAAGCTGCCTGTCTAACAGGTGCTGGACAGAAAGCGGTGAATTTACTCCCTGGATCAACGAGCTCTTTATTTCTTCCTTGTTCCCAGTCCTCACTGGCTTTGGATTTATGAGCTAAACACTGGTACACTCTCTGTCAGTGCAGTCCTTAAATGAGGAGTTAGATGTATAGGGGGAAGCAAGAGATTTTGAGGGATGCTGAGATCCTAGTTTCCATCTCTTTGGTCCAAAGTCCAGTGAGTGGCCAGTGCCTGTGATCAGACTGGAGTTGTGGACAGAGGCTGAATGTGCAACAAACTTTTCTTGAAGGTACTTTTCAGAGGTGGGTGATGGTGGGATTGCTTTCTTTTCATGTGTAAGGTGCTGCATGGCAGCACTGGAAGTGAAGTGTTTGATTTTAGAAACAGATTAAGCAGAAACAAGACAAGCTTCTCTCGGTTGCTTTCATGGTACACCTGACTTCTTGCTGGAAGCAGCAGCAGTTCAGTGACTGTGCTAACTTAAACATGGGCCTCATTCTGAAGTATGAAATATTACTAGTTGTAGTGGGAAAACCTGTTTAGCCAGGAGGATATGAAAACGTTAAGTAATCTGCCAAAGTCTTGACAGCTTTGTTTTGTTCTGGTTTTGGGTGTTGTGTTTTTTTTTTTTTTTTTTTTTCAGAGGAAAGACTTTTCACAGGGGCTACCAGGAATAAGTTTCTTAAAAGGAAAAAGTTTGCCCATGTATTTGTTGAAAATGTAAATCTCAATTGTACAAAACCACTTCATGTTGGCATGATAAAAGTTCATTCTTACAGCACAAGAACAAATATTGCAGAGATTTGGGATAGTCTAGAAAAACAAAACAGACTGCAGCATCATAAAAAAAGAAAAATCACTTAAGAGCAAAAGTATGGTAATTTGGCCACTGAAGTAATCTGAACTGGTGTGGTTGGGAAAAGTTTGCGAAGTTGCAAAATAATGGGAGGAGAGGGGAGTGGGTTTTTTGTCCTACAACTAGGTGGTTGGTTATTTCCTCAGCAGTTCATCTCAGGCTTTGTATCACTTGTCTAGAAGGCTGAGGCCATATCAAAGAGATTTGTGAATTGCAAATAGTTTATATATTATATATGTGAGTATATATATAATATGTAAACATATATATAATTAGTAACTAGACCTGATTTTCCCCAAGACAAATCAGAAGCACGTGTCTGAAGAAAGGGGTGATTTAGGCTTGACAGGTACAGAAAGAGTCAGCAACCTCTGTGCTGAACTGCCCAGGCAAAGGAGAAAATGATAAGAAGCCCTGGTGATGGTGTTCCTCTTTGATCTAGAGGAGAACTTGCCTGGAACGAGGCACCTAGACCAGTTACACCCTTTTTTACAGGAAGAAATGCACAGCAGTGTATTGACTGTGTGACTTGCCACCCAGTTATCATTTGGCCTGGAAAGAAGGAAACCTCTGAAACTCATCACTGGCTTAATTCTGTTCTAAGTCCATGACTCCTGTATCCCAGATACATACCCTCATCATCAGACTTGTTTAGCGTAGAGAGGTAATTTTTTAATATGCCAGTTGCAAAGTAAAATAATTTCTTGTATGAACTCTTGGTTCAGTAGACGCTTAATCCCCAAGCTCTTCTCTGGACAGTAATCATATGGCTGTAGTATAGATCTTGTTTAGTTGTGAGAAACTGCAGTTAGTGACCGCGTTTCCAGCAAGACAGAAGATATGAAGACAGATTTTCTTTTAGCCCACTGCTCCAACCAGCAGGCTTTTTTTTTTTTTTTTTAAATGGGACCAACCCCTATGGGCAGCCAATCCTCCAGTTGCTTTGTCCCTGACCTTACACAAAAACCTTATAATGTGGTAGGTATGCTTTCACAAGCAATATAGGGAACAGTATGAAATTGCTGCTGGACCTTTGAGCAGCATGACTCTTTCATGTGTGACTCTTGGCAGAAATTTAAGAGATCACAGTTTTGGGCACCAAGGTGGTTAATGATTAGCACTCAAGTTCCTTTGTAAATCTAGCCTCGCATCCAAAACCAAGAGGAATTTGAAATTGCTGATACAGGGGACCTCAGAAACAGCTAGTGACCCCTGTTTTGCGATGTTACTCTTTGATTTGTGTTTTATGCTTCTTATATACGTTAAATATCCTTTCCTGTTTGAGGGTATTGTGATTTTCCCCTGTTAATACTTACTTGAAAGCAGCATCTCATGTGGAGGAATGATTGAAACATTCTAATAAAAGAATAAAAAGCTCCTAGGAAGAGTGTTTTTAATGCCTGAATGCGTTGGGCTTCAGGAAAGACGGCTGCATCGGTCCCAACTCTCTATGCCTCATCTTAATAACCACTGGGACCTCTGGCTTTTCAGAGTATGGCATATTCTGAAATGTTATTGGATCACAAAATCTCATTTATTCATTTGAAAACAGGACGAGCTTGTAATATAAATATACTTTCTAAAATAAACTATTTTTGCATAACAGATTTCAAGACTTTTTTTTTTTTCTTACAGATGTTCATCTGTGTAGCAATGCCTAAATCTGCTTTTTCTTCTATATGTAAGGAATGATCCATCGAAAAAGAATCCTACATGAATACAGGTAATGTTATTAAAGTCTTTACAGCTCCCCTGGAAACATTTATAATCTGAAATCCTGAATAACAGCCTTCAACTCAGAAGCAAGAACTGTGCAGAGTTACACTTCCACTGAGCTCATAGTAACTCTAGTGTGATTTTGACACTTGTTACCCTGTGGAACTTTTTGATGATATTTTTTCTAAAAAAAAATTTCCGAAGTGTACTCTTGTACACAATTGTGGTCAGTTTTATTCTTAAGTGAAAAAATTTATTCAGTGTATGAGACTTGAGTCCATGGAAACCCCTCTAGCATATCATCACACATGTTAAAACTGTTACTATTAAAACATAGCAGTTTTTGTATTAGTTTAATTGCATATCATGAAGCTTATTTTGATTACTAAACAGGAACTCTCACAGGTGTTTCTGTATTTTGGGTTTCTCTACCTTTAAGTGTTTGTAATTTAACTCTACTGGCATAGTGATACCTCATATGAGATCCTGGGGATTTTGGGGCAAGGAAATGTGAAAATGAAAGAGAGAAAATCGTTATTGATCTGCTTGTATGTATCTCTATATAAAACACATTTCTGTGTGTGAAGGGGGAACCAAGGACAGGACAGAGAGCTCCAGTTCAGTGAGGCAGCTGCCCCATATAACTTCTGGCAACGAGTACTGGGGCTAGGCATGAAGCGTCGTACAAGTGGTTAAGAGGGATGTTGTCTGGATACAGAGATGTAAAACGTAGCTTAAAACCATAAAGTGTAAAATGAAAGCAGATGGGGCTTGCCTGCACACGAGCTGTGAGAAGAGAGGAGTGCAGGCGGTGGCCCTGCCGTTGGCGGTGGCCCTGCCGTTGGCGGTGGCCCTGCCGTTGGCGGTGGCCCTGCCGTTGGCGGTGGCCCTGCCGTTGGCGGTGGCCCTGCCGTTGGCGGTGGCCCTGCCGTTGGCGGTGGCCCTGCCGTTGGCGGTGGCCCTGCCGTTGGCGGTGGCCCTGCCGTTGGCGGTGGCCCTGCCGTTGGCGGTGGCCCTGCCGTTGGCGGTGGCCCTGCCGTTGGCGGTGGCCCTGCCGTTGGCGGTGGCCCTGCCGTTGGCGGTGGCCCTGCCGTTGGCGGTGGCCCTGCCGTTGGCGGTGGCCCTGCCGTTGGCGGTGGCCCTGCCGTTGGCGGTGGCCCTGCCGTTGGCGGTGGCCCTGCCGTTGGCGGTGGCCCTGCCGTTGGCGGTGGCCCTGCCGTTGGCGGTGGCCCTGCCGTTGGCGGTGGCCCTGCCGTTGGCGGTGGCCCTGCCGTTGGCGGTGGCCCTGCCGTTGGCGGTGGCCCTGCCGTTGGCGGTGGCCCTGCCGTTGGCGGTGGCCCTGCCGTTGGCGGTGGCCCTGCCGTTGGCGGTGGCCCTGCCGTTGGCGGTGGCCCTGCCGTTGGCGGTGGCCCTGCCGTTGGCGGTGGCCCTGCCGTTGGCGGTGGCCCTGCCGTTGGCGGTGGCCCTGCCGTTGGCGGTGGCCCTGCCGTTGGCGGTGGCCCTGCCGTTGGCGGTGGCCCTGCCGTTGGCGGTGGCCCTGCCGTTGGCGGTGGCCCTGCCGTTGGCGGTGGCCCTGCCGTTGGCGGTGGCCCTGCCGTTGGCGGTGGCCCTGCCGTTGGCGGTGGCCCTGCCGTTGGCGGTGGCCCTGCCGTTGGCGGTGGCCCTGCCGTTGGCGGTGGCCCTGCCGTTGGCGGTGGCCCTGCCGTTGGCGGTGGCCCTGCCGTTGGCGGTGGCCCTGCCGTTGGCGGTGGCCCTGCCGTTGGCGGTGGCCCTGCCGTTGGCGGTGGCCCTGCCGTTGGCGGTGGCCCTGCCGTTGGCGGTGGCCCTGCCGTTGGCGGTGGCCCTGCCGTTGGCGGTGGCCCTG